TAAGGGTGCAGTCCCATTGATCACGGATCGGAATGACGGAACGGATATCTCACTAGAATGGAGCGGTCCGTTCCAGTTCCGTTCCGTAATAGTTTTCTCTACCAGTCCCATGTAGCAAAAACGGAACGGAATGTCGCATCGGACGCAGGTAAATGTATTTGATTCTTTGATATTTCGTTATTTTGATGCGACTGAAGCAATGACATACATAATTTGTGCAATTATCTTGCCGATAACATTGTTGAGAGTTCTCTGAAATACTAAAATGTAAAAGTGAAACATATTTTGTAACCAGATTCCGTTCCGTTTTTGCTATATGGGACTGGTAGAGAAATTTTTTACGGAACGGAACAGACATGCACGGTCGAGTTGAAAGAGAAAATGTAAAAGAAACGTAGTTAACTGCGAAATTTTGCGGTTTACTCCCAATCATTATAAGACAATAAAGAAACTCTACTTTCTTCTAAGAATTTTCTTCTCAATAAATATAAAAGATCGTACACACACTTAAATATTTTGAACTTTACATACACATATCTGTAATGTAACAACAAAATTATTAATTTCTTTCAGACCTAAATATGAATTACTCGCAGGTTTTATTGAAATAGAAATAAATGATTTATTTATTTATTATGTAATGGTATAAAGTATAATGTATTGGTATAAAGATAAAGGTAACGAGAGATAATGCAAAAAATTTATCGTCTTTGAAGTTCCGCCTCCGCTAATTCTTCGTCTTCTGCCTTGTGAACGAGATGCAGCAGCTCTACTTGCACTTGCCTTCTTCGGAGATAGCTCAACTTACGCAGGATATCTCCCAGCTGCTCCAGGAAACTGTCCACTGCATCCTTCTTAAGTAAAATGATTATATATTACCAAGATTATTAAAGACTTCATCCCACAATTCTCCTCGTACACAAGGGCCTCACTTTTTAACTGGCAACTTTTGATTCCATAGAGCTGGTCTCTGCTCTACGGCATCAATGAGCATCTCGTCCATGATGTCTGCGGAGTACGGAGTAGACTCATTGCTACTCTCTGATGGTTGTGCGTCTCTCTGCGTACCTTCTTCTACTTCCTTCACACCTGTTTATACATTAATGAGTATATTTATTGAATATACTTAATATTTGCAGACAAATGTTGAAAAGTTTTTGCTTGCAAATAAAATTACTCATTGTAGCACGCCCCTTCTCGTCGACAACGAGGATATGGATATTTTCATCATAGCTTTCGAAGCAGTTATGGGCTACAATCTCTGCACAGGACCCATGCATTAGCCATCCCACAGTAACCGCATTTTACAGCCTGCAAATATGAACACATGTAACATGAATCGCATAATATTTAATACCCTGATAGCACATAAGTCTCGGTTATGTTGCAGTTATGTTGCAAAGACGTTTCAATGTCTTTGCAACATAACTGCAACGTAACTGAGACATAACTGAGACTTGTTGTGCTATCAGGGTATGTTGTTCGTATTGAAAAAATTCACGCAAATCGGCAAATCCACGTGCTGAAAACCATGCGGTGAAAACCATATGGAAAAACGATGTAATGAAACCACATATTGTGAAAAAATCCACATATTTGCGTTCAAATAATGTTTAATTAATATATAGAAGAAAGATTGCTGTCATGTGGTTTGTCGACGTGGTTTTCCACGTAGATTTTTTCAATAGTGATGTCAATTTCAAGTTTCCTTTGGTAAACAAACAAAACTATAATAATATAACCTATAACCTATAACCTATTAATAAGCGAACATAATTCTGTGATGTTCTGAATAATAATAATTAACGCGAGCGTTCATTTCTGTAGTAACTTACTCAAATTATCGTAACTTGCGATAATTTGAGTAAGTACTACAGAAATATCGTTCGTGTAAACGTAGTACATATAGCTAGTCTATTTAAAAGTATTATTACCGGCCCTTTTCCATGATTGTTGCTACTCATTTCAGCCTGTTGTGCGAAAGCCTGGTCGAGATGCACAGCACGCACACCACGTAAATTGGAACGATTCGAAACAAAATCAGACACTCTGATGATGTTATTTCAATACAACGGCGTACGGCGTTTTAAAACTTGCGCGGACAGAACCCCCACCCCTTCGGATCCGTTCGGAATTGAGAAAATATACGGAAATTTACGCGTTCCGGTCGGAAAGAATAGCAGGATCAAAAATTCCCTAGCAGAATCCGTTCCTATATTCCGATCCGTGATCAATGGGACTGCACCC